GAAAGAGTTCAAAATATTTCTGAAATTTTTTTGAATTTTTCTAAATTTTGTATAAAGTTTTACCAATATTTTTTGTAAAAATAATAAAAAATATTAACAAGAAAAACGTTATGAATATTTAAATAAAAAAATCAACACGTGAACATTTGTTTGGGTCACCATAATAAATAAGTACATCAAAATAAAACTTTGTTAAATTGTTTAAAATTGATTTTGATTTAGTGGAGGAAAACTCTATGCCGCTTACAAGGCCATGCTGCGATCGGGCGCAACGGGCGCTATGTGGGACCGCTATAGGGATCTGAAGAGGGAAGCGCTATAAGAAGGGATAGACCGAAATACTTGAGTACGAAGAGCTTGAAATGCCGGCCGGCAGGAAGAATACCCGGAAATTTAACCAGAGAGTTAGGCGACTCACGGAAGCTTTCAAGACCAGGGCGTACTCCTGTAAGAATAACAATGGCGACTTAGTTGCCGATGGTCAAAACATACTTAAGTTATGAAGGGAACACATTTCCACCCTACTATATGGTAGCACCACGGAAAGTTATGGAGAAGAAGAACCCCAGCCCGCAGTCGATGATGATGAAGTCGATGTTCCAACGCTTGACTACGACGAGGTACGAATAGAAATAACGCGGCTGAAAAACAACAAATCTGCTAAAGCTAACGGCCTGCCAGCTGCGCTATTCAAGTACGGGGGCGAGGAATTGATAAGGTGCATGCATCAATTCTTGTGCAGAATATGGTCTGATGAATGCATGCCCGACGACTGGAATTTAAGTGGGCTCTGCCTACTCCACCACGCCATTCGCGCCAACTACCGCGAGATCAGCATTCTAAGCATACAAGGTCTTATCGAGCGTATTGTGTGAAAGATTGAAGCCAACCGTCAATGAACTCATTGGGCCTTATCAGTGTGGCTTTAGACCTGACAAATCCACTATAGACCAGATATTCACAATACGTCAAATCTTGAAAAAGACCCGCAAGAAAAGGATCGACACTCACCACCTATTTGTCGACTTTAAAACCGCTTTCGACAGCACTAAAAGGAGTTACTCATCACGACTGTGCAGGCATATGGCGCAGAAGCATGGACAGTGACAACATCCGATTAGGCGGCTCTTAGGGTATTCGAGCAAAAGATGTTGCGGCATATTTACAGGCCTTTACGCTGTTGGCGGCATAGTGCAGCGAATGAAAATACAGCGGCTCCGCTAGCTTGGCCATGCCGTTCGAATGGACACCGACGCTCCAGCTATCAAAGTATTCAACTAAAGAATAGGGGCTTTAGGGTATTAAGCTACATATGTGTAAGGATTTTCTAAGCAATTTTAGAGAAATTTAATCAAGTATTGCTACATCTGCGAGATCCATGCAATTCTGCGTACAGTGAGCAGTGCTGCCGTTTTGATCCAAATGGATCAAAATGATTTGTTTTCATCGAATTTTTAAAAGATACTTTTATTTTTAGCTTAGTATAAATTGTGATACATTTTAATTCACAACCAGGTTGAGGGTAACTCTTCCCATCTTCCACCCAAATCAATATATTTGGTTGCCCTTTGTAAAATAGAAATTGACATTTTCATAAAAATTTTTGATTTATATTTAAAGACGTTTTTATATTTATTGAACTTAGGTTTAAGTGTTTGAAGACCAAGTGCATGGGAAAACCCTAAAATAGCTGCTTTTCTAACAAAATCGTTTTACGTTCCTTTTTATTTAAAATTGGGTAGGTTCAGAAGGCGCAGCAGTCGAGCGCAACCGTTGCCAAAAAAAAAAATCAGTGATCGTTATGCGTCTTCTGAACAGCTTGATACTAGATTTGTAAAACTGTCGATAGTGCCACCATCAATAGTTTCCATGTTTCAGAAAAAAACTATCATTACTCGTTGATAGTTTCCAGCAATACTGTCGATAGTGTCAACGCTACCATCGATAGTCAATGTAATGTTAAAAACTGCTCCAAATTAACTGGGACGGCATCGAAAAATAAAAAAAAAACAAAATATTGAAAATATAAACACACGTAGGGCAGTTTCTTAAGTAACTTTTAACTTTAAAATTCACTTTATGTATAAATACTGCCTAAACATGTATAGTTCTGTCTAAGTAAAGCATTTTATTATCGAATTTTATTTATTAATTTACATATCTATTACTGAAGCTTACAATTAAAAATAAAATTATTAGCCTGGTAAAGAAAGCTTCCTCTTATGATCTATAACACGTGGCAACAAAAAAGGGAAAATTGCGGCAAATGTTACAGCTATTTTTGCTTGACTTGCCAGTGCTGATTACAAATCCATGAGCATAAGGTTTCCATCGGCTCCAGATTTTGTGCACAACGAGGTCAAAATGTCAAAAAATCGAGTTTTTTGGCAAAATTTCAGAAGCTCTAGCAAAGAATCAGAAGGCGGTATTAGGCTTAAATTAAAGCTAGGAGTCTCGACTACTATCCCGGAAAATACCATGCCTAGTCATTTATCGAACAGCAAAACCTGATTTTGTGCGAAGTTTGAGTACCCACCGCAATTAAACAAAAGGGGATAGAGCCTTCCACTTGGGCTGAAATTAAGGCTTGAACTTTCGACTATAATCGCTTAAAATACCATCCCTGAACCTTAACCCTAAGGTCACTTATAGTTATTTATTTAACAGCAAAAGCTGATTTTGGCTAAACTTATTTATTTTTTTCATTAGCACAGTATTTATTCCAGTATTTTTATATTGTTCAATAAATGACTTTAAGTGACCATCAGGTCAAGATGCGGGGATAGTAGCCGAGAGTTATAGCTTTAATTTAAGGCCCAGTTAAAGGTTCTATCATCTTTTGTTTTTTGTGCTAGACCTTCTAAAATATTGCAAAAAACGCGATTTTTTGACACTTTGACCTCGTTTTTCTCAAAATCTGGAGCTGATGGAAACTTTATGCTTACGGACTCGTAATCAGCATAAAAAAGTCTATCAAAAACAACTTTATCATTTGCCGCAACAAAATCACTGTTGCCTTGTTTAATTGTTGCTTATTATAAATTTTCAAATATGATATATTTTGCTTAAATTTTGTAATATAACTTTTCGATTTGTTTACAGCCAAGAAACATACAAACTTCAAACACCGATAAATATTTTACTTCAGACATAGCCTTATGGTTTGAAGCAATGTTTAAATATAAAGGGAGCTTTTCAATTAAAGGTTCCTTGAGAAAACGGAGGAATCACAATGAAAGTACCACTTATAATAAAAAATTGACTAACTTAAATAACTGACGCGCAGCTACATGGAGACATTATAAATAAAATCGGCTGCGATAGAGGTTTTAAACTATCGATAGTCAACTAGTACTATCGATAGTTTAACCTTTTTTGAGAAAAACTATCACTACTCATCGATAGGGGCAAAAAAATAAAACTATCGATACTATCGATAGTACCATCGATAGTTTGACACCTCTACTTGATACATTGGCTGTAAAATGCAAATCTCAAAGGTACACACCTCCTTGATGTCTCAAATGATCAGAAAAATATTACGACCATCTAACACGCAACTGTTGAGTTGATCAGAAGTACACAATAACGAATTCAGAAGGTGCAATCGCCACAGTTACTGAGCTGTTTCGTCTTCTGAACATGCCCATTAAGTTTGTTTTCTTTCACCGAACATACCACCTTTAGTATGCATAGTGCATCACTGTTAGCTACAGACAAGTAGACTGTTATCGTTGACACTGCCTTAAGAATTTGAGTATGTATTGTGAAAATTACTTGTATGTATTTACAGTGTTACACACCAATTTGATATGTGATTATAGTAAACTATGCGAATGAATTCAACTGTTACCCAGTATAAAAGCTTTATTTTCACCATGCATTTAATATAAAAACCTAAAATTATTATTAAAAACTGTCAACAGTCTCAATTAAAAATTCAAACTACCATTTTAATTTAAGAATAAGAAGTTTTATTGAAGAATAATACTTTGATACTTAAATTTTTTTTCTTGATACTTTTGATCCTTTTTAGGGATATTTGGTGATACATTTCTTCTGAACGGTGTGGCAACACTTACAGTGAGCAAATGTTAATATTACCCAGCGTCGGAAGTAGTCATTTAAGTTTAATTTTTTTACGTTAGGGTTGATATATTCAGCTCAAAGACCTTAGTTAACCGTGGACAGTGGGGGAGGTATTTTTCACACATGATATTGATATGTATCTAATATTTGATAACTTAAAGTGTCGCTTTATATCTTCAAAGCAATTCATCATTTCATGCTTTGTTCACAGATCTGTAAAGTATTTATAAATAACAAGGCAAACAAAGTCACAGTTCTCCAAAAACAAAATCAACGCGCACTTGTTATAATAAATTAACCTGGTTTATCCTGAGTTTCGCCCGAAAAAAAAATTCAGCCGAACATTTGTCATCCGCCCATAATAAATACATGGAAACCAAAAGTGTAAAGTGAACCGGTTTGGGGAAATGAAATTCATGTTAAGGCTAAATATCAATTTCTCGTTTTCTAAGCTCACGCATATATCGAAAATATTATGTTATTGACCAACTAACTTGTAGTAAGTTTTAAACCTATTACGCTAAAGCGTAAAACGTTATGTATATTGTTACAAACTCACGAATGCTCAGTTGTAAGCCATAAGCTTTGATAACACCGTAGACGTCCTGTTCACCGCGACCAGCCATAGCGATTAACTTCTGCTTCACATTCTTTGCATTGTCGTTGAATAGCGGGAAAAAGCTCATGAGATTGTTGTGGCTAAGAAAAGGACTTATTGCTTTGCGACCGGGTTTCCATTTCTTCACTGTGCATGCGAAAATTCAGCATAAAATTGGCCTTATACGAACATATAAACATATGTGTTATAACACTTATTCACCTGGATTCACAATAATCCCGTTAATGACACCGTTATTAAAGTGAGCATACAAATCTCTGGCTTTGTTGAGAAACTCAGATGAAGATGTGACATGCTCAATCACTTCCGGCTCGACAGTAATTATAATCGGAGTTGTGGCTACCCACACACAACCGGTTAAACTCTTTATTTCATCGAAACCACGGCTTACAGTGCTATAAACTTCTGCAAT